TCGCGCACCCCGACCTTCATGAAAAGGAAGACACTCGATAATAAATCGTGCTCCAACTTCTTAGCATAACGGGAGACTATAGATGCATGCTTGGGAATCACAAACCTTAACACAAATATTCTTACTAATCCACAATCTCAGTACAACCCAAATATTACCATCTCTATATCTCAAAACTATTGCGAGGAATCAAACTTATTATATTCAGTGATCTACATTGAAAGTTTTTATTATATCCCTCTTGAACACCTATCATATTAGGACCAATTTCATAACTTGTGTATATTGACATTACTATTATCAAACTCTCAAAATGATATAAGTGAAGCATGAGAGTGCAACTATTTCTTTAAAATATAATCATCGTCGTGCTCTAAAAGATATAAGTGAAGCACAACTATCTAGCTCAAAAGGTAAAAGTGAAGCATAAAGAGTATTCTAACAAAACACGAATAATGTGTGTCCCTCTCAAAAATCACCATTTATGAGAGAATACTAGTACATGGCCATGTGAGCACCGTATATACCCGTAGTTGTATTTATGACCATATGTCCTACATATTTTCATGTATATAAGGATCATACTAGAGCCCTTTATAAGTTTGAGGATGTTTTTATCACGCGCCAACAATTACAAGTACCATAAATGTAATTTACCCGAGAAAAATGTGGCAGGTAGTTAACGTCGATGATTTAGGGAGATATTCTAAAGCCTACTAGTATTTGGAAAGATAATATACGATTTGGATGATTTGGAAAGATACAAGAAGAAAATCTTCCCTGATTGCGATCTTTATGCCATAATAAGTGAATTATTCTCTCGTGGATATCTTTCCAATTCATGGGCTTTAATTACCTACCATAATACGCTCCTAGGTCTAAAGCATATAGGGGCAGTAGAGAGCCATCATGCTGTCCTCCTCCGCCTCCACTCTTTCCAGTGCTCGCCTCCTCCTCTTTCATCGCCTCAGAAGTGTGACTTTCACTTTGTCATCACACTTTATTTCGCAGACCCGCCTCAGCCCTTCCTTGTGATCATGTCATCCTCTACCTATTCCTCTTCACTAGGGAGTGAGATATTCGAAGGGTCACAGGGGTGTGCGCATCTTGATAGATCAAAGGTGGTAGGTTTTCTCTCCTTTTTCTGTTTGGGAAAGCTTTGGGGCGCTTGATTCGAAAGAATTTAGATGGAGAACTGGAGTTATTGATGATTTTTATGCCAGGGATGCCTTTCATTGAAATTTTTCCTCGGAATTCTTTGTAACATGTAAAATTTCCATTAACTCAAAACGCTCAGAAATACCTTTTTTGTTTTCTACAACAGAATCAAATCAAACAAAATCACCATTTCGATATTGGGACCGTCTCACGTTTTTACTGTTGATGTATCTCTCCATCGATGGTTTGCCTTCCATAAGAGGTTAATTTTGGTGGTTTGTTCGATCAAAAAAAAGTATGTTTCCCCTTTCCTCAATGTGCCCCAAACTGTAGAATTGGATATGGCCTTAGCATGTGCTAATTTGACCATGTAGCAATCACCGGATTTCATGTGGCATTGGTTGGTTTGCTCTTGGTCCGTTTCTTATACTATGAAGTCAATTTACTAGTTCGTGTCTGCAATTTTGTTCATTGAAAAAAGAGGGCATTGTCTTCTTCCTTTTTATGTGTTATAGACTCTAGAATTGATTCTGATTGTGCGGATTTGTATAGAGATTACAATTATGATAACTTGTGGTCATTCGGGGCTTGTGGCACAACAAAAATTCTTCCATTTTGTTATATTCCTCTCTATATTTTCTTTGCTAGCAGTTTGGTTTTTTTATTTACCTTCTTCCGTGCTTAACTCATATCACATGACTGGATTAATGACAGCGATGACATTGATAGGCTTCATTGGGAAAGTCATGTTGCGAAGGAACCCTCGTTGGCTCTGGCCATAAGGAACTTGGATTATGATGGCTCATCCAAGATGGTACAACTTGTAGTAATTGATAGAAAAATTATTCTTTAGGCATAGAAACTAGCCATGGTTTGTTATTAACTTTTTATTATTATGATCATTATGTGATATTTGTCCATGTGATTGTTAGAAGGATTCCGATGAGTGGGTCGTTGGAGAAGCAACATCCACTTCATTGGTTCAAGGATATGTATTAATGGGTTTCCCAAAAGAGATTGTCATGAAGGCATTAAGGAGAATGGTAATTCTAGAACCAGATAATTTCATTTCATTTATTATATGTTTGTTTGCACATGCTATTTCAACCAAAGCATTTTTATTTTAGGCCATAATGAGAAAATGCATTATTCGAGCTACTTCTCATGTATGAGGTAGTTTTCCATGTGATTCTGCAACTTGGTTTACCCTATGGTGCTAATCATAGCACAATAACACAACTGGGAAGCATATCCTTCAACACCGAGAAGTGATAAGCAACTGTGTCAACTTGGAATGCATTGCCAAGAGATTTGTTCATGGATGCCATGCTGAGTCCCCTTGTGTGGTACCATGGGAAACCGAGTAGGTGTTCCACCTCATCTGGCTCCAAAGGGGTAACCTTGTTCTTTCCAACCCATACAAGGTTCCATTTTATGCACTGATCCATGACATATTTTGAACACTTTGAGATGGTGGATTTCTTAAGCTTACAAAAAGTACAATAAGTTCTTTCTATTTATTTCGCACTTTGCATACATGTTTGTAAGGAATTGAGTTAAGTTCTCGAGTCCCAAGAAGGCCACCACTTCATATAATGAGTAAATGCCTCAAATATGGTATTTCCAAGGAGAGGCAAGACAAGAAATCTATTCTCAACTAGGAAATTATGGATATATCCTCCTTTTCTAGCAGCTGCCCACAAGTTCTTTGAGTCCACAAACTTAGGTTCAATGTCATACAAGAATCTTGAAATTGTTTCCCATACATCTTCTGGATATAGTGCCACATTTTCATTGTGGAAGAACGGTAGCCAAATAGCTTGGTGAGCAAGCCCTCTTTCTCAACAAGCTATTGGGCTACCTTTCTTATGTGGCACTAGCTCGAAAAGGTGTATGGGATTCTTTTCTCTAGATTCTTGTGTGGAATTGATCCAGAGTTTGTGGATTCTAAGCACTTGTGCGCAACTACTTTAAAAAGAGGATATATCGATAATATTTCATTTGAGAATAGATTTCCTCTCTTGCATGTCCGTCCAAAGTCCAAATTTGAGATCTTTCCTCATTATATGAAGTTGTACCTGAGAAGTTAACTCGATTCCTTGTGGACATGTGTGGCAAGTGCGAAATAAATAGAAAGAGTCCAGGGCAGAAAATCCACCATGTCAAAGTGTTCAAAAATATGTCGTGGATGAGTGCAGAAAATGAAACCTTGTATGGGTTGTGAAGAACAAGGTTGCCCATTTGGAGCCAGATGAGGTTGAATACCTACTCAGTTTTCTAAGGGACCACACAAGGGGAGTCATCACAACATCCAAGAACAATTCTCTTGGCAATTCATTCCATGTTGACACAGTTGCTTACCACTTGTCGGTGTTGAAGGGTATGTTTCTTAATTAAAGGAGGAGAGGTAGCTCTGCATGGGCTTAGAATCCACATGAGGATTGTAGTTTATACAAAGTTAGGCAAAGCTGGTACGAGGGATTTTGAAGGATTGATGAGATCTCACTCAGACTAGCACATTAATTGAGATTTTGACGTGAAATCTCTCAGTGATGATAGAATTGCGGCATTCGTTAGTAATTTTGGCGTCTTTGACTTGGCGATTGGGGGCAAACCATGTAGCAACCTTACCGGAATAACTGGCACACCACCGTGATGGTTTGGAGGGTGAGCAATCTTCTTTGTTTTACCATTGCTTCAGAATCATGGTGCCATAAAGCTGGCTATGCGAGGATGTAGCGTAAAAATTTAGTGTGTGTTCTATCGTTTAATTTTTACCTGCAGGAACCACAACTTCATCTATGTTAAACATTAAGTTTCCGTGAAAGATGTTTATTTGTGAGAACCATGCTCATTTTTATTTTACAAAAGTATATTTATGGTGCGTTCAACTCTTTTCAGAGTCTAATTTTGTACATATAGAAAGTTTAGCTTTCCTTGATTCCTCCTTTATACTACTTCCTAGAGACATTCCTAGTAAAAATTATTCCTCCTTTATTCTTGTATGACATTCCTTTGCACTAAGTACCATGCCAACCTCCTCGACTGCCGGGAGCGCCAATCCCTCCTCAGCACAGGTACCTCCCCGTCCTCCCCCGCTGCCGCAATGCCCGACGATGCCTTCCCGCCCTTCCCTCCCCGTCGCGTAGACCTAGCCACCGAGACGCCAGTATGGCCTGACTCGAGTCAGCGACCGGAGCGACCAATCTATGCCCCGCCTTCGCCTCCGCTGCGGGCTCGCTTCTGCCCGCCGCGATGGCGCGTTGCTTTCGGGGTTTTACGCCGCTAAAGCCTCGCCTCCTTGGCGCTGATCGCGTGGTTATCTACTCAGTTTCCTAAGGGACCACACAAGGGGAGTCATCACAACATTCAGGAACAAATCTCTTGGCAATTCATTCCAAGTTAACACAGTCGCTTACCACTTGTCGGTGTTGAAGGATATGTTTCGCAGTTAAAGGAGGAGCGGTAGCTCTGCACGGGCTCAGGATCCACATGAGGATTGTAGTTTCTACCAAGTTAGGCAAAGCTAGTAGTGGGGTTTTATGCTAAAAAAAAGACAAAATGCTCAAAAAGTTTCTACCAAGTTAGGCAAAGCTAGTAGTGGGGTTTTATGCTAAAAAAAAGACAAAATGCTCAAAAAGTAGTGGGGTTTTGAAGGATTGGTTTTCTTTTCTTTCGAGAATCTTTTCAAGGATTGATGGGAGGCCACCAGGCCCAGGCCCAGTCGGCGCACACGACGGACGGCCCCCCGGAAAAGCAGGTGGGCAAGACCAGCTGGTCGGGTCCAACCGAGTCCACCCCCACTCCCTCGCTCGCACTCCGCCCGCCGCGCCGGACGGACCATGGCCGCGACCGCCGACGACGCCCGCCGCGCCGCCGCCGTCGCCAAGTACCGCGCCAGCCTCCTCGCCTACCGGGAGCGCCAGTCCCTCCTCACCACAGGTACCTCCCCGTCCTCCCCCGCCGCCGCAATGCCCGCCCGCCCGCCCCCGCCGCGCAGACCTAGCGACCGAGCCGCCAGTACGGCCTGGCTCGAGGCGGCGACCGGAGCGAGCAGTCGGCGCCCCGCCTTCGCTCCGGCTGCCGGCTCGCTCCCGTCCGCCGCGATGGCGCGTTGCTTTCGGGGTTTTGCGCGGATAAACCCTCGCCTCCTTGGCGCTGATCGCGTGGTTACCACCCAATAACTATTTTTTTACTGAGAAAAATAACAGTAGAATCTCCGGGCAGTTGGTCGATTCCGAATTTGGGCGCTGTTCGCCCTTGGAAAGTTGAGGATTTGCTTCAGTCTAGGGTTTCTACGGGTACGATTGTGCTAGCTGCTCTGGTGATTGGAATCAGAGCACTTTACTTTCACAATGTTCAGTGCTGTGATACTGGTGCATGATGCAGGTAGCACCCTTTTTACGCCCTGTTTGCTCGGAAAAGATGATTGGTGATAGGAACTAACAAGAGTGATTTACCTTTATATTGTTCGGTGCAATGCTCTGTAGTTGGTGCAAGTAGTGGCCATTTCTCGCCTGTTCGCGTGGAAATGGATGATCCCGAGCAAGGGCTGTTCGTGCAGGCTCCTTTTAATTTGATCTCTGATTTTCCTCTCTTGAGCATTTCGTTACTGTTGTGCAATTTTCTTGCTGGAGATCCATAGGCATCTTCTGTTGTGTTTACGGTGTTTGATACGCTCTCCCATTGCAGGGGAAGAGAACCTGAAGAAGGCTAGGAAGGAGCGTGAGATAACTGATGGGCATGTCAAGGCGTTTCAGAGCATTGGGCAGATAGTGGGGGAGGTGTTGCGCCCGCTTGGCGGCGAGCGTTGTGAGTGTGGACCGCAGCTTTCAGACCAGCCTCCTCTTTTTCTGCCATCGAGATCTCTCTGTTTGGTGTCTGATCGATATTTCCCTCCTTGCTGATAAGTCATGTTCCTTCACTTGCAGTTATCGTCAAGGTTAGGAGTGGTCCTCGATACCTTGTCAACTGTCGCAATAAGTTGAACACGGAGAGCTTGAAAACAGGCACACGCGTGTGTCTTGACCCAAGCACACTTACAATCGTGTGCATGCTTCCGCGTGAGGTATAATTGTGTTTCGGTATCATTTGTGTTTCGAAACATCCGTTACTTTGCCTGTCCCATTTATTACCTCTGTCTTCTGTTTCTCCATTGGTTGCAATCCAGAATCAAATGGATGTTATGTGTTGAGGACGTGATTTGAAATTCTACTTCCTTTCAGGTGGACCCTTTAGTGTTCAACATGGTTCATGAAGATCCAGGGAATGTCAGCTTCTCTGCTGTTGGAGGGCTATCTGACCAGATCAGGGAAATTAGGGAGACCATAGAACTTCCGCTCATGAACCCTGAACTGTTTCTGCGAGTTGGTATTAAGCCACCCAAGGTAAACATCAATGCATACACTTGCATTCGTTTGTTCCAAGGGCACAACCGCGCAGGCTATTAAAATAGAGTTAATATTGCTTAACAATCACTTGGCTTCAGGGAGTGCTCTTCTACGGCCCACCTGGAACTGGGAAGACACTGCTGGCTAGGGCTCTTGCAAGTAACATAGATGTGAACTTTATTAAGGTGTCGCATAGATATATTGATCTTCAACTGTTTTTCTCCCTCTGTATATATATCTTTATGTTCTTATTATTAATCTGTACTGTATGCAATAGGTTGTCTCAAGTGCAGTCATTGGTAAGTATATTGGTGAGAGTGCTCGGATAATAAGGGAAATGTTTGCATATGCACGTAATCACGAGGTAAGCCCCACTCAACATCTTCTCATTTTTATCTGAAAACCTTCTATGCTTCAATAACCTACATGTTCAGAACCCCAGAGCTAGCTTCTGTCCTGATCTTCTTTCTTGATTTTCTCTAGTTTTGTTATCAACTATAAACACATATACTCCCTCTGTAAAGTAATATAAGATATTTTAGATCACTAAAGTAGAGTTCTAAAAGATCTTATATTTCTTTACAGAGGGAGTAGTAGTTATGAGCAACTGGTTATGAGTTTTACATGGCACATAACTAGATACTGGATTAGAGTTGCACTTATCTCTAAAATATATATTAACAATGATACCCACATTACCACTGAAATGTAGTATAAATAAACAATGCCATACATTTTGTTTCCAGTAGAGTAACCCCAACTTAGTTACTAATCACTCAACTCTGCTGCTGTTCCATTTTTCTGTCCAGCCGTGCATCATCTTCATGGATGAAATTGACGCACTTGGAGGAAGAAGATTCAGTGAAGGCACAAGTGCTGATCGCGAGATCCAAAGGACGCTCATGGAACTGCTAAACCAGTTAGATGGGTTTGATGAACTTGGAAAGGTATATGTCTCTTTTGCTAGACTTCGTGACTTTGTGCCCAGGATGAGTATTATTGATGTTGCATCCAGACCTGTATGCATGTGCGGTTGTCATGTTAGAATGTTCCCATTGATTATATTGGTTTCTGGATGAATGTTTAGTTATTTAACATGCTTGAAATCTGAACCTTTCTGTCAGTGGTGAGTTATTTTCAGAATGTTCCCATTGATTATATTGGTTTCTGGATGTATGTTTAGTTATTGAACATGCTTGAAATCTGAACCTTTGTGCCTGTGGTCAGTTATCTTCGTAGCTCAAAATATGCTGAACTTCTCAGGAAAGTAATTGCTGTCGTACATATTCCAAGGCATGCATTTCCTTGTTGTGAGTGCCTCCGGACGATTGATTTTCAGTCTAAACCTATTTTCATTCCTGGTTACCTTCAGGTGAAGATAATCATGGCGACCAACCGTCCGGATGTGCTGGACCCTGCTCTCCTACGCCCTGGGCGTCTGGATCGCAAGATTGAAATCCCTCTTCCTAACGAGCAAGCGAGGCTGGAAATCCTCAAGATACATGCAGCTGGGATGGCCAAGCACGGTGAAATCAACTACGAAGCTGCTGCCAAGCTAGCAGAGGTGAGTCCCTCGCCTAACTTTTGCAAAGCTCCCGTTCCATTCAAAGCTTCACTTGTAAACTCCGTCGTTGCGTTTCAGGGATTCAACGCCGCTGACATGCGCAACATCTGCACAGAGGCCGGCATGGCGGCGATCCGAGCGGAGCGTGACTACGCCATCAACGAGGACTTCATGAAGGTATTTGTGGTATTTTGCCAACGATTTCTGATTCAATGACAGATAACGTGTGGCATCCATCATAATGTCTCGATTTTCTGCAACGGCTGTTACCAGGGGGTGAGGAAGCTGACGGAGTTGAAGAAGCTGGAGTCCAGCGCCAACTACAAGGCGGACTTCGGCAGCGGCTAGAGGAATGACAGGCCGAGTTAAACAGACCTTTCGACGACAATTTAGATAAACATATATATCAACCCATGCTTTTGAAGAAGGAAATTACGAGGCGTACGATCCAGACGCTGTCGTAGTTCCTGTCCGCGGTACTGATCCTCGCCCCAGGCCTCGAATTTTGGGAATCTCTCTATGCGCTTGTGGTGCCGCAAGATGTTGGCCTGCGGGGCATGAAAACTGATAACTAATCCTCACATATCCTAGTTTCTGCATGTAGTGTTATGGCCGCCGAGGTTCCTCTTGTTCAGTAGATGAAATGGAGGGGAGGGTTTTAGACTGAAATGCTATGCTGGCGCCCTGTTGAAATGGAGTGCCCATGTTGTGATATACGTATAAATGTTGCACTGTCGTGTGTCTCTTGTGTGCTGCATTGTTGCCCCATGTGCTGTTTTCCTTTTCTTATCAGAGGAATCAAATTGTCAGGATAAATTGTTGCCCTGCTGGAATGGAACTGGATTAATTCCCAGCTAGATGCTATGCTGGTGCCTTCAAATGGACAGCCAATAACAGCACAGGTGTCTGAACTTGGTGAGAAAAATTAGTTTGGTGCTAAAACTTGTGGCATACATTGAGTCGGTGACATATCTTGGCTTCGGCGTGCATCTACTGTGCTATTTCTCGCTTTGAGCGAGTGCTGCTGCTTCTTGTGATCTTGTCTCGCTGAAGCAAATCCCCCCGCACTACCTATTCGGCCGGCCTGTTAGCGTGGAAATCCAGTCTGCAGCGCGACTCTGCCAGCCACTAAGCCAACATAACCTTCTTGTAAACTATCAGCGCGTGTCCTACTTGAGGTTCAAAGAGTTGGCTTTACATTAGTTTATTTTTGTATTTTTGTATTTTCTTTTTTTCTTCTCCATTTTTTCCATTTTTCTTCTCCAATTTTTTTCTTTTGTTTTTACTTATGTTTGTTTTCATTTTCACTCTACATCTTCCATTTTTTAATAAGTAATCAACATATTTCGTATACACGTTCCACATTATCCGAACGCTTATTTAACATTTTCAAATAATTGTTCAACATTTCAATACTTAAGCAAAAAAATTCAAATACATGTTCGCCATTTTTCAAATACTCCTTCAATAGTGTTTAATACTTATTCAAAATTTTCAAATACTTGTTCAACATTTTTCAAATACTCATACAACAATTTCTTAGTACTTGATTAACATATTTCCAATACTCTTTCACCATTTTTTAGTACTTATTCAACATTTTTAAAATAATTGTCAACATTTTCAATACTTATTCAACATTTTCAAATACTTGTTCAACATTTTTTAATACTTATTAAACAATTTTCAAATACTTGGTCTGAATTTTTCAAATGTTTTTTAAGAGTTTTTTTATATATATAATATTTTAAGTATAAAGAAAAGTACAAAAATAAAGAAAAAAAACGAGAACAGAAAACATAAAACAAATAAAACAAACAGGCCGCGGCCTCCCGCGCGGCTGGGCTGGCTCATCTGGCGCTCCGCAACGCGAGGCTTCTCCCTGCGCTTGTTTAAAGCGAGAAATAGGGGTTCCCATCTTATTGACCTATAGGCAAGCACCCATATGGGGCTTAAATGGGCTGCAGTTATCGCGGCCCATTTTAACATGATAGTTTTTTTATTCATGTATAGTATTATAATTTATATTTATTAGTTAAATAATATAAATAATTTCTTCAAATAATAATTAAATATTTTTAGATATTACACGAATATTAATTTTAGTAATAATAATATTTCTCGTAAAGTGAATACATGAATATTTTTTTAAATGCATAAATACAGGCTGAAAATACATGAATATTTTTCTTAATATATTAATAATTTTTTCATTATTCATGAAATTACTCTATTGCATAAATATTATTTTCAATATATATAATTTTAAATATATAAAATTATAAATAATATGGGAATATTTTGAAGGATAACAAGAAATTATTTTCAATAGGAAATTTTTTATAATTTCATGAACATTATTTTACTAAGATTTTTTCAAATTACATAAACACTCTTTTAAATATATTTTTATAATTGTATGAACATTATTTTAAATAATTTATTTTATATTTATGTATATTATTTTAATATATGTATTTTTACAGAATTCTTAAAAAGAAAAAAACTAACATGTGTAAATGGGACGCGGTGACTGCAGCCCATTTAAGCCTTATGTGCGTACTCCGCTGCAGGCCATTAAGGGTAGAAATCCCATTTTGACCCTGTGCGGCCCAACATGTTGTATGTGATGTTCATTGTTTTTCAGGAGAAAAATCAAGGGGTTTTTTGTGAGAAAAATAAAATTCTAGGGGGGATTAAAAAAACACGCCCTCGCCGTGCCTTCCCGTGACTGACACTGGGTCCCGCGCCATGTTGGCTCGCCTCATCATCACTCTATGCGTATACAAACGTGATTGCCACCGTAGATAAACGCCCAAGCCAGGTTCTGTCACTGATTCAATGTATGCCACAAGCTTTAGCATCAAACTAACTTTTCTAACAAGTTCAGACACCTCTGGTGTGATTGACTCAATAAGATTAAGAAAAGAAAAACAAGTGTGTGTGCAAGGAACTGCCCATAGCTGCTAACAATCATTGGTATGATAGCGAATCAGTCATTGGTTAGGATTTGCTATTTGGGGTATTCAGGGATCTAAACCTGTCAGGGATCAGATATCGACAAACAAAGATGACATGATCCTCGAGAAATGTCCTCCCTCCGTTCCTAAATACTTGTCTTTTAGGCATTTCAACAAGTGACTACATACGGAGCAAAATGAGTGAATCTACACTTTAAAATATGTCTACATACATCCGTATGTAGTAGTCATTTGAAATGTCTAGAAAGACAAATATTTAGGAACGGAGGGAGTAGTTAAGTACAATCTGTATGCGTTGTTTCAAAGGTGGTGAGTCGTAATCACTGAGATTGGTTCTCACCAGCTGCCTTAGCAAAACTATCATGCCAGGTTTTAGCACAAAGATTAGATTATGTGTCATCATGGGAGGCACGTCGTCTACATGTGATTTCTGAAACTTTGGGTTTTCGCGTGTGGCCTAGTATACAAATACGGATTACCAGCGGATCAAAGAAGATTAGTTGAAGGCGACGTCGGATTAGCAGTTAAGATCATGTCCAAGTGGATCACCTTTTGGACCTTATGTGGTCTCCGGTGAACAATTTGTTTTAAAACACAAGTGACTAAATGATTTTTAAAATATAAATGTGCAAAACTATTTTTCATGGCAAATCTGATGACGCCGCTCTCTCGACAAACTACAACAATGACCATATTCATAACAGCTGCTTTTTCTAGCCGAATCAACAACTGCTTTAGTCAATTGAACTTTGTGTTCAATACGTGTGCACACACGTTCTGTTTATTTTGGGTAGGGACATAATAAGCTAGGTATAGGGCAGCTCCATACAGTGGCGGAACTAGCTAGGAAAACCTGGGCAGGCATGTGCGAGCTAGGATAGAGAAAAACACATACAAATTGCCCTCGATGGTCTAATTTGCCCTCATGTTTCACTATTTTTCGTTTGCGTTGGGCGGGCCATTGCACAGCTTTGGCCCTATGTAGCTCTGCCACTATACCCATAAGTCTCAAAGGAACTGGCCTTAACCCTGAACCATATGTAGAACGATTGATGCGTACAGACGTTGTGCCAATATTACAGTGTCCACTCAGCTAGTCGTCTTGGTCGTTGGTGTCGGCCGTCGTCCTAGCGGGGTAAACATTCAGTGATTCTCGTAATCTGGTCCTCTAGCTCCCCCCATGACAATGGCTCAACAGCTTACCTTTTGGCAGGGTTTCTAAACGCACTGGAATATGAAGAAGAAGGATGCATGATTTCCACAACAACAACAAAAATACATGTTTGGAATGTTATGTATCTTTGAAATCGTTCAATTGGAAAAACTATTTTGGAGAAGAAGTATCATTCACTAAATATAGTACAAATGGAACTTCGCAAAAAAAAAAAAAAACAAGGGTCTAAATCTTGTGAATCAAACCACATCCATACTTGAAAAGCCATTACGATACAAATGCGCCTGGAATCCTACCAAATTAGTTGGCACACATGCACGCATACACATTTATAACATGTTAGGATACTTTTGCGTATGGTTTATTTTCCGTTAGGATACTTTTGATTTGTGATATGGAGCATGTGTTGCATTGGTGCAGCATGTGGCATTGCTGATATGTTGGCTATTTTCTTTTCTTATCAGACGAATCAAATATGTCATGATAAATACTAAACAATCTCGAAGATATTGGTCTGGGAATGAAACCAAATTAATTCCCAGCTAGATGCTATTATTGGTGAGCTAGTTGAAATGAAGAATCAATGCTTGCAATTTGGACAAATAGAAAGTCTCCGCTCGAAGCTGTTTTTTCTCTCCATAGAATAAGATTAAGAAAAGAAAAACAAGTGTGTTCAAGCAACCGTCCATAGCTGCTAACTAATCATTTTTGTATGACTGCGTATCAACCATTGATTAGTCTTGCTATTTCGAATATTCAGGGATCCAACCTGTCAGGGATCAGATACTATGAAACAAAGATGGCATGACTCTCAAGAACTGTAGTAAAGTACAATTCACGTATGTTGTTTCAAAGGTGGTTTAGCGTAATCATGGAGATCGTTCTCACCAGTTGCCTTAGGGAAACTATTATGCCAGATGTTAGCACATAGATTAATTTTTTGCATGGTAATATGTGTCTCATTCATACTATAATGATTAAAGTACAAGTCACGTAAGGACCGACATGACAAAACTGAAAAGATAGCAGAACATCTCTGAGCTTGACGCCAACGCCCGTCACTTGACTCCGGCACAACGATAGCAGCCACCAAAGAAAAGAATGACGGATCACCTCCTCACCTGAGCTGGAAGCGGCTCCACCGCTGATATGCAGCTTTACGGACCTCCAAGGTGGCTCACCAAAAATGAAGC